CTTACCCTGTCCCTTACTTGTTTTAACAATATAACCTGATTATTTATTCTGCCGAAGATGAAAGCTTTCATGTTGTTGGGTGACAACTTGATTAGCTCTTAAAAAGTTATACTAGCTTTTGAATTTCAGCTGTGAAATCTAAGTTAAAGCTTTGGTTGGACATTATTGATGCTTTTTTAAAATTAGTTGTTAGGGAGATATTATCTGAAAATTGAAATTTAAAGTTGAATTAACAAATCGAGTGAAAGAAAAACATTGAAAATGGGGAAAATACTGTTTCCTGCCTGCTACTTTTTTCTTGAAAGTCTCTCTTTCCGGTGATCTGCATTTTGGAATACAGAATATATTCCCAACTTGTATGGCTGTGCCACCAGCCTTCATGTAAATGTTATGTGTATGGTTTGTGTAGTACAATGGAACATCTTGAAATTTAAGGTGGGTTGGAGTCTGACAGGCAATAGAAGTCAGCAGAGTGGCATTTAGCTGTTTCTTGAAATTCCTTCCCTTTGTTTGCTTTCTCACATGTACATATTTTTTTTCCCATAAATCTCAAATCTATCATTCACACAGTTTTTAGGCTGAAGTTCTAAAGCATATACAGATACAGAAATTGCATAAACGTTTGTCCTGATTTAATCATTTTTCATCATATGTGAGTATAAAATTGGGAAGTTTTCAGTGTAGCTTTTCAAAACCTTTGTATGTATGTTCTGTTTTAGTGACATGGTATACAGGGGCGGCTCAAGCCATTACGCAAAGTAAGCCTTTGCAGTAGAGTTGATTTTGCCAGGGGCGCTCTTGAGGTGCTCTTGGGGGAAAATAGACCTTGACATATTTGAGTTGTAGTTACTGGGATGTATAGTTCACCCACAATAAAAGAGCATTCTGAACTCCACCAATGATGGAATTGAACCAAATACGGCACACAGAACTCCCACAATGAACAGAAAATATATATCAGTGATTGGTTGGGGGGGGGGGGCAAAATACTGTTTGCTTACCGTTGAAAATTACCTAGGGCCGCCTCTGATGGTATAAATGGAGTAACTGAGTCCAAGGGCAGATTCATAACCAAGACCATTCAGGTCAAACCTAGGCAGGGTGAGAATTTGACCTCTGACTCATGTGTCAGTTTTGCCCTCCTGAGCATAATGGTTTTTGTGACTGCATTACTTCATCATTGACAAAATACGAAGATGGGTGAACACCTTTGTTCCTATAGGATAAAAGCAAGGAGTGGCTCGGAATGGTATGTTAACAATAGCTGTAATCTCTTCTCATGGTGGCAGGTACCAAAACACAAGGGTGGGGCAGCTGGTGTGTTGACTGTAGTCATAGTTCTCTGAGAAGGTGATGCCTGGGAGTTCCCTCTGATCCAGAGGATTTGCAATGTGCTGATCTTTCTAAAGTCATCTAACTTTCGAACTCCTCAGCCTGAAAATGCAGGCTTTGTTTATACTGGGCCTTAAGGTGTAATTGTTTCTGACCAGTCTCAAATAGAATGGAATAACTGCGACCTTACCTCGTAAAGGCTGATTTGGCCGGGGTGGTCCATGCCTTGGTCACCTCTAGATTGGATTACTGTAATGCGCTCTATGGGGCTGCCCTTGAAAACGGCTCGGAAATTCCAACTGGTCCAACGGGCGGCAGCCAGGATGTTAACTGGTGCTCCTTACAGAGAGAGGTCAACCCTCCTGTTCAAGGAGCTCCATTGGCTGCCATTCATTTTCCGGTCCCAATTCAAAGTGCAGGTGCTCACCTACAAAGCCCTAAACGGTTTGGGACCAGCCTACCTGCGTGACCGCATCTCCGTTTATGAACCTGCATGCTCCCTCCGATCATCTGGAGAGGCCCTGCTCACGATCCCACCTGCGTCGCAGGCGCGTTTGGTGGGGACGAGGGACAGGGCCTTCTCTGTGGTGGCCCCCCGACTCTGGAACTCTCTCCCCAAGGACATCAGACAAGCCCCAACGTTGGCAGTCTTTAGGAAGAGCCTGAAGACCTGGCTGTTCCAGTGTGCCTTTCCAGAATAGGAAACTCCTGGCAATAAGTCCCAAATGCAGTTTGTTAGAGATTCAGGATTATCTGCACATTGCATCTACCTCCAAATACCTCTACATATTACCTGTCAGGCTCAGCACTTTTAAATTTTTCCATTACATTTGGCCCGGCCTCTAGGTTTTTAATTGTGTCACGGTGTCATTGTTTTAGTGTTTTATTGTTTTACTTGATGTTTTATTATTTGCTTATGAGTTTTACTGTGATATTTGTATGTTGTTGTTGTTGGCGGCCTTGGCCTTTGTAAGCCGCATCGAGTCCTTCGGGAGATTTTGCGGGGTATAAATAAAGATACCGGTAATAATAATAATAATAATAATAATAATAATAATAATAATAATAATAATAATAATAATGTGGAGATTGGCTAGGAATTGAGAAGAGTTGCCTAAGGTCATCTTAACTTGTGTCTGAAGACCCAGGTCAAAGTCAGCAGCTTTACAGGGCCAAGTGGCACCTGTGGCCTTTGAGTATTATTTATTATTTATTTCTGGTATTTATATCCCGTCTCTTCTCTACCTTGAAAGGGGGACTCAGGACGGCTTACATAGGCAGCAATTTGATGCCGTTGCATGAACAATGAAGACAATAACCATTAAACAAAAACCATCAAACTATTAAAATACATAAAATACATAAGCCATTAATTAAACAGTATAAAATCTTAATTACCAATAAAACCGTATTCTCATGTAAATCGTCTTTCCAGTCCATTTCAATCAAAGTGCTGCTTTATGTCTGCTGACGGAAGGCGTGGTCCCACAACCACGATTTTATTTTCTTCCTGAAAGCCAGGAGGGATGGGGTCAATTGTATCTCATTTGGAAGCGCGTTCCACAGGCGGGGGGCCACCGTCAAGAAGGCCCTGTCCCTCGTCCCCACCAGCCGCGTTTGCGAAGTTGGTGGAAGCGAGACCAGAGCCTCCTCGGATGATCTTAAGGTTACGAGGTGGGACGTAGAGGCAGATGCGTTCAGACAAGTAAGCTGGGCCAGAACCGTATAGAGCTTTATAGGTACCACTTGATATCTGCTCTATTGATGGGTAAAGAAGTCTTAAGTGCAGTTATGGTCAATTGCTGCTTCCTCCTCTGTACTGCCATAATGTAGCAGAATCCTTTTCTTAAGTTTTTAAAATAGTTTTAGTTATGTTTGTATTTTATTGTTTTCTCAAGGAACTGAAAGTGACATATATAGATCTTCCTGTTTTACTTTCAACACAGTCTTCTGAGGAAGGGAGGTTAATTTGAATTGACCAAGGTAAACCAGAGACCGTGGCCAGTTCCCTAACATACTCTAACCCAGGAGTTCTCAAACGTTTTCAGCTGCGGAGCCCTTTTCGAAGCAAAAGTTTCTCATGGAACACCAAGAAATGTTTATACATTATATTAATATATTGTATTATATTATGTATATGTATCAAGCATGGGCAAACTTTCTGCTGCACTGTTTTAAAATTTGACAGATGGGCCAGGCCAGTGGCAAATGACTGGAGAGTGTTTATGTGAAATAATTGGGAAAAAATGAACAAATTCTTATGCACACAGCACAAATCTTGTTTGTAGTGCAAAAAAAGAAAAGAAAGACAGAACAATACAGTATTTAAAATGAAGAACAATTTTAACCAACATAAACTTAACAGCATTTTAGTGGAAGACCGCAGGGGGCATCCAGTACAATCCCTTTCTGCCATGCAGGAAAAGTGCAATCAAAGCACCCCCAACAGATGGCCAACCAGCTTTTGTAATAGTAGTAGTAGTAGTAGTAGTAGTAGTAGTAATAGCAGAAACCCCAGGTGCCATCCAGTTCAACTCCCTTCTGCCATGCAAGAAAAGCACAATCAAAGCACCCCCTGAGAGTGGGAGGGAAATGGGATTTTGGAAGCAAGAAAGGTGATGGGAAAAGTCTTTCGCAGTGAGGGAGGCGGGGGGGGGGGGATGAGGAAAGAGGATAGAAAACTTGGGGGAGGTAGGAGAAGGAATTGGGAACTGTGGGGCCCCTTAGTATTCTTTGTGGAGCCCCAAGGGCTCTAGGAGGCACACTTTGAGAACCGCTGCTCTTACCTGTACAGTTGGCTGACTGTCAGATTGGGAAATTTGTCTACATACATTTATGCACAATTTGAGATCCATAGCACCTTCCAGTACCATGCAGATTACTTGGTTATCCATCCAATTAAACAGCACTGGGTAAATACAGTATAGTATCTTGATTAATTGAGAGTAGTGAAGTTACATGAAGATCTGAAACAATATGTTCATGGTAAGATTGGTGTGGTATGGAAGCTAGTAGTGTTTTACAACACTACTACATTCTGTTTTTTAATTTATTTGAAAATATTTTTAGAAATTCCAGGGGAATTGCGACATTAGTGTTATTGCTACATTAGTGTTGGTTTCTAGACCTTCCCTATAAATTACAAGATGCTTCATGAATATACTTTATTAATAAGATAATTTTACCTTATATGACTCAGTATTCAATTATTGTAATACGTCATTGACAATTGCTGTTGCAGCTCATGGAGAGTTTTTATAAGTTGGTTATACACTGGGTGACAAGCACTATGAGGCAAGCAACCAAAAATGTGGGTGTCCGTTTCCAGTCAACATGTGAATTTTATCCTTCCGGTCTTTTGGGTTGCTCGACTCTTTGAAGCTCTCTTCCGTGCCACGTGTCTTCCAGTTTTTCTTCTCCTCTTTCTACTCTATGGCCTCACACTTCTTGACCACTCCCTATTACAATTTCCCATCTTATTTTCTTGATTCGTATACTGATTTTCTCCTAGTTTGGCATCACCAGCACTTTTAGTTCTTCTGGCCTGCTGCTATACTATGTAGAGTCCCTGTTCTCTTCTGACTTCATGCTGGCCTTCACTATACTAACATGTCCATAAAAAGAATAGAGAGACAATCACCCTTTTTATCTTTGTCTCACCCTCATAGATTGGAGACCTGCGGTGATGCTGGGTGTGCTGGACTGTGCCGAAAGGTCCAATCAGAAAATATGTACAGACTTCGGAATCACTGGTTATCCTACTTTGAAGGTATATTTCCATTGTGGAGGAGGAGACTCTTCTACTTCAGTTGGAACTGACATTTAATGCCATAATTATTTGAAAGCACATGTTTCCCAATCATATATTTGGTGTGCTATCTGTGAAAACTTGATGGTTAGCTATGTAAACCTGATGTTTTGGCTCACTGGTTGATGCTGTCAGGGGGATGTTTTTCATCCCCCATGAAGAGCAGTAGGACTATGAGGAGACAGACTTCTAAAAGACTGAAGTGACTTTGAGAGGGAGAAAGAAAAAGAGAACTTTCTGTCCAGAGAGGGAAAGAAAAGCTATGGACTTCACACATGATACATCTATCCCAAAACCTATTGGCTTGTCCTTGTTGATGTATGACTTCAACAGCAGTTCTAGAAGACAAAAACAAAGCTTGTCCTACCCACAGTCTGTCTCAATTTTCTTTTTTGGGTTCAATTTTTAATTTTTTTTATTGTATACAAGTTGACAAGCAAAACCAAAAATTACATTAATTAGCAAAATAGAAACATTGCAACATTATAACAAATCATTTCCCTTCTTCCTTTCAACTGTGAACTCACCATCCATGACCTGTGTCACTACTCAGTGTGAATCCCATATCTAATAAAACCTACTACTTTAGTAAATTCCACTTGCAGCTACTTTTAAGTCATTTGTCTTTCTTTCCAAATATTCAAATGCCAGCCTCCATTTTTTGGTGAACTCTTCATTATTTCCTTCCCGGATACCATTAGATAGCTTGGCCATTTGAGTATAGTCTAATAACTTTTTACTCAAATCCTTTTTAGATAGTTCTGTCTTGGTTTTCTGAGAGGGAGTGGGGAGAAAACTTTTCAAAATGACAACTATTTTCCCAGCCATAATCTCAAGTATAAAAATACTTCCCTTCCAGTACTACCAAGTCAAAACTCCAAAATCATGATAGCTTTGTTGAGGGCTCATCAGTAACTAGTAAGTCACACTTCACTTAGTCAGGGTGGAGATGAAACGCAAGAAGTGTTACATAAATAAAGCTTCTTGTATTTAATCTCCACCCTAACTGAGGGAGGTGCCTGGGCTCCTAATTTGGTCCCCATGGTCTGGTACATATGGAAATGAATTCTTCTTGCCTTCTTGAAGACATGAAAGCTACTAGATTCAGATTAGGGGAAAATAGCTGTGTTGAATACATATTTGACCCACACATGCAAATAGGTTTGCTTATCATACCTGGAAGCCCACATAATTGGAGGTCCTCCTAGACTCAGCGCTGACATTTGACGCGCAGGTGTCGGTGGTGGCCGGAAGAGCCTTCGCGCTATTAAAACTTGTGCGCCAACTGCGACAACCTCGTGAAGTCTGACTTGACCATGGTGGTCCATGCCTTAGTTACCTCTAGATTGGATTACTGTAATGCTCTCTACGTGGGGCTACCCTTGAAGACGGCCCGGAAATTACAACTTGTCCAACGTTCAGCAGCCAGACTAATAACTGGGGCAACTTACAGGGAGTGGTCAACCCCCCTGTTTAAGGAGCTCCACTGGCTGCCATTTATTTTCCGGTCCCAATTCAAGGTGCAGGTTATCACCTATAAAGCCCTAAACGGTTTGTGACCTGCCTAACTTCGTGACCATATCTTTCTCCATGAACCATCTCGGGCCCTCCATTCTTCTGGGGAGGCCCTTCTTTTGCCCCCACCAGTCTCCCAGACTCCCTTGGTGAGTACAAGGAAGAGAGCCTTTTCCTCTGTGGCTCCCCGACTCTGGAACTCACTCCCTGGAGAGATTAGGAAAGCCCCTACCCTAGAAACCTTTAAAAAGAACCTCAAAACCTGGCTCTTCCGCTGCGCATTTGATGAGTAGATCGACTACATCCTCATACTAGTGTTTAGTTTAACGGTTTTTGTTATTGGAGTGCATTCCTCCCATAAGAAAGTTTTGCTCCATGACCTCCACTAAAATGAGCTCTCCTCTGCAAATAATCTGTCCTTGTTTATCTTGCCTGAGTTTTTAATCTCTACCCACTTTTCTTTTATCCATTACATGTAGCTTGCCCATGTTACCGTGATTGTGTTTATTGTGTTTATTGTAATTTTATATTGTTATGTTGTCTTTTGTTTATGCAATTGCGTTATTATTGCTTATTCTTTGCGTTTTCAGTTTTGTTTTATTTCATGTAATTGTTGTTTTGGGCTTGGCCTCATGTAAGCCGCACTGAGTCCCCATTGGGGAGATGGAGCGGGGTACAAATAAAGATTATTATTGTTATTATCATCATCATCATCTCAAAAATCCCCATTGGTCTTGAGTAGCCTGGTCCACTTTTTCAGGTGTCTTCACATAATCCTATACATAGGCAGGGAAACCTGGCTTTTATGTCCATTTGCAAGTGTGTTTTAAGAAGCTCTTGCAGTCATCTAGCTGCACCATCCACTGATTTTACCCACATGATTCAAATAACCCAATGGGAACTTGCTGAATGACTTATCTACACTTTCTCCGCTTATGACCTTACAGAGACCTCCCCTCCCTTTCCTTTGGGAGATGAGAATCCTATATGCACATGCATTTACACACTGAGCAAAGGCGAATGAAGAGAGCTTGGAAAAGAAGGAGCTCTTTAAAGGAAAACTTTTATTCTAAACAAGCAATCTACATGAGTAAAAATTGTATCTTATACATAAAGGCTATCCTTCAAGTATTGCTTTGGATTAAAGTTACAAACAGCCCAAGTTAAAAGAACATAATTTTCAATGAGACTAGCTAAATATTTATCTTCTGTTCACTATGCAAATGGAATCTAGGTCTTGAATGTTCATGAGAAGTTGAGAATCTGGACCCCCTGGGCCCAGGCTATGATGAAGCTCAGTCCCAGAGTCTCAGCCTTTTTGTCTCTTTATCTCTCTCTCTGCACCATGAGGTTTTATAATCTCTCACTTGGAAACATCTGGAGCCCCTGGTGTCAGGACTGAAGACCGAGAGGTCGCAGGTTCGAATCTGGAGAGAGCGTGGATGAGCTCCCTCTATCAGCTCCAGCTCCTCATGCGGGGACATGAGAGAAGCCTCCCACAAGGATGATAAAGCATCAAAACATCCGGGCGCCCCCTGGGCAACATCCTTGCAGACTGCCAATTCTCTCACAGCAGAAGTGACTTGCAGTTTCTCAAGTTGCTCCTGACGACAAAAAACAAAACAAAACAAACTTGGAAACATTGGGCAATTGTCTCTTGCTATCTATGGCTCTTGCTTGATGCTGATCCCAATACATGCAACGTAAACCATCATTAATCCTTTGTTTACATGGAGGGAAGACGATTTATTTATTTATTTATTTATTTATTTACTTCGCTTATATATTGCAATTCTCAGCCCAGGGGCGACTCACTGCGGTGTACAACAGGTGCAACAGGTGCAAGAAAAACAGGTGCAAAATACAAGACATAGTGTAAAATAATCCACAATTCATCATTATCAAAAAACATCCTCATCAAAAACATCAACATTACTACAAAAGCCATTCCGTGTCGTCTCATCGTCAAACCCACAATCCGGTATCATTTCCGTTGTTCCATTCCTATGGTCAATTTCCAGTCATTGCACTTCTTGTTCAAATGCCTTCTTAAACAGATTCCCCTTAACGCTGGTGCCCAGATTACAGGAGAACCCATTACCACATGTTTTTGGCATGGGTGGAAGAGCTGATTTTCTAGCCCTCAGTTTTTCAGCCAAAAGTTATTTGGGTTAAAAACTGTAGTTGAAATAGTCTTACAGACCCATGTCTAAAGAAAACACAAAACTAAACTTCCTGCATCTCCTCCCTAAGAACCAGTGAGTTTGTTTAACTTGGGAGACCTGGAAGCATGCTAAGCTTTGTTGTTCTAAAGCCTGGTTTATACTTTTAAATCATCCTATGCTTTATAAATCCATTAACGTGAGCTAATGGTTAAGTGATGTTGCTCTGGTAAACATTATGACCATACCATATCCTGTTTAAAGGCACTTAACATGAGTACTGGCTCATTTATATAATGTGTTGGCACACCGGTAGCACATCTTAGCATAAAAATGGGCTGAGAGCACTGCTGTGTGCATTGAAACATGAGGGAGCGTATGGGATATTTGCACAGCTAAACACATTACCTGTGGCCCATGTCATTTACAGAAACTGGGTTTTAGAGGAAACTAGCTGTGATCCTTCCAAGGATATCTGTTAATTGCCTATGCAAGAGCAAAAGGATCTTTAGATGTCTCTAAATGGATAGGTATTTTACCCAATATCCACATCATGGACGAGTAGGCATTTATTTTCATTTATTTATTGCCTTTCTCCCAAGATACAGTTTAGCAACATAACAAAGCAGGTCCTAATCTGCCCACTTTGGAGCAATAATACTGTATGTGTACATTCATATATAACGTTACCTAAGTGGGGACAAAATTAGGGGTTTTGTTATAACCCATGACTAAGCTGAAGATAAAATGTAGGGCCACATAACAAATATTTTCCTTCCCTTTTAAAAAATTATAGAGGGAATGTACTTCAGAAGAACCAACAAGAAGGAGGGTATCTGCCTATTTGGGGGGTTATAACAGGATGTGTATGTATTAAATTGCAGTGCTGACCTGTCTATCCAAATATAGATAAGGAAAATAATATAAATGAGGAAAAAGAATGAAAATGCAGCCTGAAAAAGGGGGCTCTGCAATGAATCCCTTACCTTAGCAGGCTAGCTTAGGCCTAAAGGAGTGGGCCTGGCAAAGCCACGGCATCCATTTTAGGAAAGGGGGACAGGGAGACTCCATTTTAGGTTAGGTTTGCCTTGAGGGGGCATGTTCTAGTCTTGGAGGGAAAATCAGAAGGCTAGGATTGGTTAGAAAGATGGGGGCGGAGCCTAAGTGAGCTGATGGCTGGATGGCCATCTGTCAGGGGTGATTTGAATGCAATATTCCTGCTTCTTGGCAGGGGGTTGGACTGGATGGCCCATGAGGTCTCTTCCAACTCTTTGATTCTATGAT